AAAATGAATATAAGTTGGTTTATTTCATTACAAATGCAGTAGTAAATGCAGTAACGTCTAGCAGCCAAGCGGATGTTACCTGTCATCAGTATGGAGCAGTCGAATAATAAAATATGTTTGCTGATAGTTAGTTGTCATTTGCTGCATAGATCACACATTGGCATCCATTTACCCTTATGGTGGATGTAGGTTGTTATGGTGTTATTTAGTACTGCAGCATTATTTATGAGATACATGGGAAAGAGATTTGTACAAGTTGTGGCTGCTGAGTGTACAGGGCCCCCATTCTGCATGAGCAAAACAGTAATCACTCCTCGAGAAGGTGAATGGGGGCTGTAACAAATGGAATATGCACAATGTATTGAGTGCCAGCACTCAGTGCCAGCATAGTGTGTTTTAATGTGATGCCTGTGCCATAGTTAGTAATGTAACTTTTTGTTTTTATAAAGAACTTTTATAGTATGTGGAAATTATATTATAAGCTTAAATGCCCTTTAAACCTATCGAGGTTAAAAAACAAGTACAAGTTAAACAATTGGTCTTTATGCTACATAGTAATTGAGGTTAATATTTAACGTTATGTGTAAATTGCAGCAGTCCTACTGTACATAAATGTGACAGCTGGTCAAAATAAAAATATCTCTAAGACAGCGGTGGCTTGTAAATCTTTGATTTATGTTATCACTCAGTTGCATAGAATAGCAGCTGGTATAAAGACCTCTATATAATAGATGCAACCTATATCAATTTCTAATCAACCTATATCCAAAACCATAAGGAATGGTAATTTGGTAAGGACACGTATGCACAGCATACTTGCACATTAGGGTATATTTACCTTACAAGTGTGCCCTTCTCCAGTGCTGTCAGATTATTCTTCTGTCCTCAGTGCTGTCCCCCGCCTCTGCCATCTCCATCACCAACACTTCCCAGTTCTTGGAAACCCTCTTCGGCCATTGGGTGGCCTGTAATGATGTATCTCCTGCACATGCGCACGGGAGTTACATCCTCCATGGCACCTGGACGATTCATGGCATACTAGAGCTGTAGTAAATGAGCTGAGTGTGTACACTGCACTGCCCATGCATCGTACAGTGTACATGAAAAATTGTTGGGGAGAGAGGGAGAATTGTTTTGACTTTGAATGTTCCTTCTGCCAAAAATCCCTACGTCCCAGCATGTTTTTTTTCTCCTTTTACTTCCACTTTATTATGTTAAGAGTAAGCCAAAGTCCAAATAATAAGTAATAGCAAGTAATGTTAAGACTTGATTATTATATAGACTTGTTTAAAACCCACATTCAAACTGTAGTAATTGAACACACTGGTTACTTCGTAGCATTATTTTTATTTACTTAGATGTTTAGTGCATGATGGTTAAATCACAATGTAAGATTATTAGCACAGTCCAGTGTACCTCTGATAGGTGTTAGATACTAACTTATGTAAATGGTATTGCACCAATCAGGTGTTATGAAATACAGCAATATACAGTATATCATTGTAATTTTTCTAGTGTATGCAAATTGGTCCTAATGATTTTGTCAAAAGGAAATGTTTAAATTGAACTCATTTCCATGAGAAAACCATTATTATGTAAACTACACACAGTTGTTTACAGTTGTTTATGGGATGATAGTACGGACATATCACTTTAGTGTTCATAGTTTGTTCATGCTATGCCAACTAGTAAAACTAAACCATTCCCACTAGGCAATGAATAGTGCAAAAGCCTATATTCAGATAAAAGATAGATCATCAACACTTTTTTCAAAGATTTTACTGTCTAGTTATATAATATCAAGACTTTTCTTTTAGATTGTAAGCTCTCATAGGCAGAGCCTAACTCTCTTGTCTTGAATTGTATTGTAACTGTACTGTCTATCTTTATATTGCAAATTACTGTACAAACTGCTGGTGCTATATAAATCCTGAATCACAATAACAATAATAAAGAAAAGACTTACAATAAATGGTATTACACTTTAAAGAGACACTAAACTCAGAAATCCCCCCCCCCTTCCCCAATGCTGCTGTAATGACTTACCTTAAATGATGCCGCTTGATCCGATAAACTCCTATCTCCCACTTGTTTCCAGCAGTCTCTCCAGCGCTGGTACCAGTATGTGATCCAGCGCAGACTGCTGTTTCTTCCTGTCCCACGGAGTTTGTCCAACGTGCATGCTCTTGGCTGCATGAATTGACTCTCGCTGTGTCTCTCTTCTTCTCCCGGCCGGTGATATCCGTTGCATGCGTCCGCACTCATCCTCCTGCACGACCGTTCGGGGAAGCTGGATTTTACAGCCGGGAGCAAGCGGCGGAGACAGAGGCAAGTTTTTAACTGATTGGTAAATTGTTTTTTATTTTAAATGTTTTCGCATATATTTATTGCTTGCTAGCAGTAGATATATATAGAAAACAATTAGACTTTAATACTACTTTATCTATTAACAAAAACGGATCTTATTTGTGTATCACTCGGCTGTATATCCTCAAATCATCTCTGAATTAGTGCTGACACTGGCTACTTCTGTTCCCCATGGTCACTGTGTGTGTTGTAAAGTAGACACAGCTGAGTGATACACCAATAGGATACATTTTTGTTAATAGTTAAGGTATTTGAATGCATTTTTAAGGTCTAACTCCTGTGTTTAGGGTCACTTTACCAACCTGAGGATAATTTTCTCTGCTTGAGCGAATGCTACACAGTGGATTATTCTGTGCAGCTCTGCAAATGTTAGTCTAGCTCAAGGACAGAATTCAGATTTCAAAGTGAGTCAGATGTTCTCTTTCACATTTTTCTAGTTCAAGCAAATTTTCTGACTATAACACTTAATTATCTATTTTCTATTTTCTTTTGCATAGTAGAGACAAAATATACCCATAATACCTATATTGTAGTATTATTTTAATATTATAATAGTTATTACACATTAAAATAATTTATTTGAAAGAAAACCTGCAAATTAACATTTTATTCAACATATAAAGTACATAGTTGTGTTTGTGTCTGCGTATGTATGTATATTTTATAACGGAATCTTAAAGATAGTCTTTCACCTACAAATGAATACTTGAGTATACAGAAATCAACCAATTTGGCAAAATAATATAATTTGACTGTCTGTCAATAAGCACATTAATGTTGATTAATGTTGAATAATTAATGTTCTGCAGTGTCCAGACTCTATACATTGTTGATAAGTCTGATTCCATGCAGTTTTAATGCATCTTATAGCCTGTTGGAAATGTAAAGCCTGACTGATCTTTAGTTTAACTTAATTAAGTATATTTAGGATTCAACAAAACAAAAGGTGTTTCAAGGCTGAAATTTAGTTCAAATCAGCTAAATATATTCCAGGTGCATCAAAAGAAAAGATGTTCAAAGTGTAACAGTGTTTTAAAGAAAGCAGCCAAAGCCTACGTAGAAAAGCATGTCCCCCCCCCCTGCCAGCATACTGCAGAGGACCCTGGCGCTCTGTGAGGAAGCAGTGGTCTACCCACAGAGGTCTGAGCTTCCAGTCAGCAAAACTCACTCTTCCTGATGATTGAAGAGGTCTGACTTGCCAGAGGCTGAACGTTTGCAGAGGGACCACTGCTTCCACACTGAGAGCAAGGCTTTTCTACTCAGGATCCGCAAGTGTCTCGGCTTGCTTTGAATTGTTCTCAGTGATTCTGCAGTATATATTACATATAAGTTTTACATAGTAGATGAAAGCAGATATTTAACTAACCAACATTTATAACACTGTTTAAATGGCTATTTCAAAAAACAAAAGTTAACTGCTGATAGCCTGCACCACACCTCCAAATTTTACATAATGTATTACGATTGCTTTGAATTATTTTATATCATTTTGGTTTTACGAATGGTGCTGATAGCATGCAGGACCAGAACAGAATGAAATGCCAACGTTTTATGGTTTTGATGCCACACCTCAACAGATCATGCGGGGAATTCTGACAATGGGAAATTGCTCTATTCCTATCATCATAGATAATGGGAGTGGAGAAGACCAAAGTCCTTGTCTTCCAGCTCCAGCAGGATAACAACATAATCCTATATTAACACAACCAGAGAAAGATGGGTATGTTTTAGGATTTGAGAGAGGCACACGGAATAGCCTTATTCCTTTGTTCGTGTGTTTCATTAATATTTTCATGTTATGCAAATATGAGAAGAGTTATGAAAATAATGATACAAATTTAACTTTCCTGAAACTTTCATATACCTTGCTTTAGAAACACTAAACACTGAACTGAATATGCAACCAAGTGGTATTTTAATATAGTATTAATTAATTAGCAAAAATAAAAAAAATTGGATATTTCTAATGATCTGTTATTTTTTATGATTTTGTATGAACACTAATAGGCACCACCAGATATTTAAAGTTGTATTTACAAATTGCTTTAAGAATTTAATAATGATGTGTCAGTGTTTTCCAGAAATATATTTCTGGAAAATAATATATAGAATATATTAGGATAAAGAGTTGCAGATTGGGAGATAGACATATTTCTGCCTTACAACATGATCTGAAAGTACCTATTGTCCTAAGCTAAAGAATGTTCCAGGACACAGAGGCATGATAAAACCTGCCTCCGTGCCTTCCTATACAGTTTATCTGGAGCATAATACTCAATCTGTCTTGTCATCTGTGCATGCAGTTAGTTGGTCATATCACCTTGGCCCTCAGTTGTGCTCAGGATGGTATAGTTATTAAATACTGCACTGACCCCCTTCACACTGTAGTAATGCCTGAAAACATTAAACCATTGCATAGATAGCAATAATTGTGATAAATTGTAAGCTTTGCACAGCTTTATAATAACAGATTACAATTTATTATGGTTTAGGTGCAATTTCAGAAGAATTCTAATGCTCTGAATTGCTTATATGCTGTACCCTGTAAAGGAGTAATAAATATGCAAAATGTATACATATTTAACATCATCAGTAAAACCCACTCTCCAGTAAAGTATTAATAACATACTTACAGTTGTGTAATGTTCTCGTGGATTGATTAGTGTCAATCCTGTCTTCTTCCTATAGCTACAGACTCACACATAGATGGCGAGATACAACCTGGACCATCCTGGGGCAGCTGCTGCTGGTGTGTATGGAAGTGGAGCTACACCTCACATATATACAATGTGCAATGGATATCCTAATATGCTTTTCATTCAACTCGCTGGGCAGGTTTCTACATTCTGTGTAACATGGAATGATACCAGAATTTGTTGGCATACGAAGCCAGTCAAACCGGTTCTTCAATCATCTAGGAACAAGTCCAACCAGTCTGCATCAAAGGCTAGAGCAACATGCTGTGGCTCAGCACCACTAAGCTCCATCCACTTCTGTGAATGATTCATTCCTTCGTCAACTCCCAACGAATGGGGAGAAAATGTTGTAGCCTGCAGCAAAATAATTTTGCAGACTCCAGTGGGAGTGGCAAGCATCCATGTCAAGTACAGAAAGATCTTTTAAAATACATTAGCTAAGCTTGAGTATAGTTTTTACTTCTGACACATGTGCTAGAGGAGTCAGAACGCAATAACAGATGAGGTACTAAAAACTGTTTTAAACGCACATTTAGTTGTATTGTTCTGCTGCACAAATACACCCAGACAAGAATCCATACCTTGCAGGCATGAAAATTAATGTAGTGTAAGTTGTCTGTTGGAAATCATACCGTGTGCAATGTCTGTTAATATAGTTATATATTATACACGTAAATAATTGCAAAAGAGTGTTCAGACTGTCACTGTACCACACAATAGTGTTACTTTGTTTAAAACATATGATTTTTATTTCCAAATCCAAACAATTTTTTTGCAATCATTTACACTGATTAGCAGATCTGGTACCTTTTAAGCCACTAAAACTATTTTGTAAGTATATGTTAAACACAGCGGATACAAATTTACTTTGTGGAGTAATTTTGTTCTATAATATTGCATGGGAGCATGATGATATACAGGTAGGTGATATACAGTACATTCAACAAATTACCACAAGGCAGTGGCATAACAAAAGCCATAGCATCTCACGTGGCTGCTATGGGGCCTGGGGTAGGAGGGGATTACGTTAGGGAGTCTGATAAGAAAAACTAAACTGTGAGGTTTCCAGTATAGAAGGGCTGAAGTCAGGCCTCAGGATCCTCTAGTCCAGGAGTAACCAAACTCCGGCCCTCCAGCAGTGGTGGTGAAACTACAAATCCCATGGTGCATCTCTCTCTGGGAGTCATGTCTGTGGCTGTGAGAATCTTGCAATGCCTCATGGGATTTGTAGTTCCACCACAGCTGGAGGGCCGGAGTTTGGCTACCCCTGCTCTAGTCAATGATTCCCCTCTATGCAGTAAGAAGCATTTTCTTATCTACCTTAGCAGTGTAGATTTATTGTACTCTGAACTTCTGCTACAGACTGAAATTAACCCCGCGTATGTCTAATGCAGTACAAATCCAGAGTTTCTCCTCTGTTATAACTCTATAGGAGGACAGATGTTTGCAAATCTACAAAAAAGTTGAATGAAGCTAGATTTTAAAGAAGATTGTATAAGGGTAAAATAGTAAATGTGTGCAAGAACATTCATTGTTTTATCATAATTTAAAATATCAATCTGGTTATTATTATTTTTATTAATATTACTATAAACTTTACCCTCAGCACTGCTCTCTAGTAGTGTACTGACTATGCTGACAGCTCTCCTCCTGTCTGTCCTTGATTCATAATTAATGTTAAGATCAATGACATATATTGTCAAAGTTGACGCTGCCAACCACGACATAGAGAGTTAGCCGGAAGGGGGCCCCAAAGTTTTGCTATGATTTGTAGTTACGCTGAGGGGTGTGGTCACTGAGGGGCGCTGTAAAGCTTTCTCGCACAGGGCGCCTAAAGGCCTAAGGCCGGCCCTGGCCCCTGCCGCAAAGATTTGTTCACTCTGGTTGCATTGCCCTGCATTTTATCGGCCGAAGCTACGGCCAGATCCTTCGGCAGCTTTGTGAATAGACCCCATAGTAGTGTTAAAAGAAATTGTTTCAAATGCAAGACATGTGCATTGCCACATGTCGTAGAGAAGAACTGCAGGCAAAACTTTTATTAACCCCTTGCAGTGGGACTACCCCCACACTGTTCGTTAACTGTTCGTTTTCGATCCTCGGAGTCGGCTTGCTCTTAGACTGGTCCTTCCAGCCTCGCTCCCCCTCCGTTGCAGCAATCTAAGGATCCTCGAGTCATCACATCCATGGCTACGGTGTAGAAGAAGACAGGTTGGAGGGAGCGCTGTCACAGCCAGCCAGCTCCCAAGATTGGGTGAGTATAACTTTTTTATTTTAGCCCCGAGACGAAAACGAGTAGTTAACCCTTGCAATACGGAGGAAGCCCCACTGCAAGGGTTAATACAAGTTTTGCCTGCAGTTATTCTTTAAAATGAAAACAAATCATGCTGCATTTTTGGTGGCAGTACCCCGCAGCTTACTTTCATGTAATTTGAATGGGGTACTTTCAAAATGCAGCACAGTGCACTGGATAATGAGTTTGGTTTCCTTCTCCACACACATTTGTACACATACACAACAATATTTCATATCTAAGATTACTATTAGTAGATGAAATTGAAGGATGATTAGTATACAGCATGAGATAAAGTTATGTGCACATGTCATTACAATTGTCAGATACCGTGAGTTTTATGGGAAATAGTATATGAGGTACAAATCATTATGAGATTACCTTTGGACAGCTGTCAGATAAATGTTTCATTGGCTGGGTTAGATATTTTCAGTTGAAACTCAATTCTTGTTTACTAAAAAGTGGAAGTAATTGCTGATGCTACAAGTTTAGTACATGCATGCACGTAAGACAGAAAGAATCTTCTAAGCATCGCTCATCACTATCTGCAGTCTGTAAAGCCTGCCATTCAATGTGCGGATTTCGATCAGTGGGTGGCCTTGTCGGCAGTCCTCCGTCCCTGCATTCCCTGCATTGCCATCCCAAATTGGCCATCAATGTATTCTTCACCCTTTAAAAAATCAGCAGCCAAGTAGGATATTGTTCATAGACGCAGATACCTCCTGGTATTGGGTCAAATAAACTTGCTCTTTGCAGTGACTGGCAGCCATTATTTAATTGGACATATTCTTGCACAGCGTATCCAAATAAATATAAATCCAAAGCGTCTCCAAGTACCATCTACAGTAAAGCTGACGCCATACTTATGCATGCGTGTCACCACATGTTTTCTTGCCTGCTGACATGCATTGATATTACACAGTACATTCATGTGGGCATTTTATTGTTTTCCAATTAAGCCCCCAACAATTGTTATTAAAATAAAAGCAATGCACCTAATTTTTCATCTAGAGGTTTAATCTGATATTGTGGAGAGTGTTCTTCATGGTCAGAGCAGCAAAAATGTGGAACTCCCTTTCCCAAGCAGTGTTATCAGCTGGGAGCATTGACAACTTCAAAAAGCTTCAGGATGTCTTCCTTAACTGTGCACAATTTACATACAAGGATATATACTGTATATGAACTGGATGGGTCAGTGTCCTTTTCCAACCTTAACTACTATACAACATACACCATGGTATTCTGCCTTTGCAAAAAATGGAATAAGAGCGTTTTTTTGGTGGACTAATGCTTGCTAAGAGACATGGCCACCAAATTAAAAATTGCAGGTAAAAGTGCAGAGCGATCAAGTATATTAAATGTTTCCTTGCAGTGTTTTTCCTTATATACATTTTCTTTATACCTTGCAATGTGCCTGTGAATTCGCTAGCAAATTCAACTAGTCACTACTCGTTAAAGTTTCTGTGAGCCTGTAGGATAAGTAGCATGAACTCGTACAGCTATTTACAGTTTGGTGTCAGCATAGCATTTGTTTTGTACCTAGTGACCCCCTCGAGTCAGAAAGTAAAAAATTACATTATTGACACGTTTACTGTGATAGGAGAATATTGAATTATTAAATATTTTCTACTTAGTATTACAAAGAGAGTATGCCCCGTCATATGTATGTAGGGTAATGTATACCCTGCTTTAGTCTGAGCGCCCTGTACAGCGGTATCCAGACTGAGTGGGAGAGACGCAATACTTTGAGGCCGGCAGGCTCTACTGCATGCTGATGTATTGGCAGTGATTGTGCTGAACAGAGGAGAGAGCAGAGGGATAACTTTATACATGGTCTGCTGATGCTTCAGTATCCAGTCAGGAACATGAAGTGTGTGTCACTAAGCTGGGATGCTTCTGCTGCAGTGCAGGCCAGAGATCTGGCTGATCTGTCTTGCAGGGGTGCCTGGATCTTAAAACCAGCTACACAGAATTGCAAATCCTTTGGGAGGTTAATAGTTCCCATATATAGTATGTATTTGGTCTGGAGTTCAAAATGGCAGAGCTGAAAAACGCATAGTTTTGATCAGGGCCGTAGATAATTTTTTTCCCTGGGGGGGGTTCAGCTTCCTCAAATTATAAGACTTTATCTAGCAGACACACCAAGGTTTGAAAAAAAAGCGACATCCGTGGCC